GATATTGAAAACAATGTTTTTGTTTGAGTTTGACCAATTCGTAAAAAAAACCCCAAAAAACTAAGACATGCGTGTCCGTCAACCTAAACAATAATCTAACAATCTCTACTGATTGTACGAATCGAAAAATCGGATAATTCTTTATCTTTAGGGAAAGATAATTCCACGTACTTTAGGGCCGTTTTTACAATTCCCTTTGCAATTTGTTACAAGGCAGATCAATAAGGCATTGGTTCTATTTGAAATTAATTCAATATTTAAAAGAAAGTATTAAGAAATAATTTAAATATGCCGACGTAAGAAATCTGATAGACAAAAAACAAACAATATTTCGAAGATGATAATTATTAAGGAAAGAACACAGTACTTGTAATAAATTAATAAACCCAAATAAAGTTAATATTTTTTGTATTAGAAACAACGAGTGGAAAATATATTCAAATCAGAATTCTAATTATGAATCACCACAAGCAAAATATGCAATTTTTTTTTACTGTATTCAATAAGTAAAAATCATAAATTGTAAAAGATTACAGAGAAAGGCTACCTACATATTTCAACCGATTTCAAGAAAACTTCACTTTTTTTTGGCAGGTAGGGTTTCTTATTGTCTTGCATATTTTTTTCTTTATTTTTACATTCAGAATGCTTTAAAAATTCCATTTACAAGACAATTGTTTATAATAAAATTCTATTCACCACTCGATAGACTCATAACGATTGTAAACAATGTTTTTGTTTGAATTTGGGTTTGACCAATTCGTAAAAAAAAAAAAAAAAAAAACTAATTAAGACATGCATGTCCGTCAACCTTAAACAATAATCTTTGTCAATTTAATTTTTCAGTCTTTATGATGGTCGATACTTGATCTATCTCTTACTGTTACATCCCCGGGCAACGGCGGGCTCTAGTATATATATATATATATATATATATATATATATATATATATATATATATATATATATATATATATATGAATAAAAAGATGCAAGATGAAAGCTGTTCTTAGCTGAAATGTTTTTGTACTCTGAGGGACGTTATCAAGGGAATTCAGGATTTATTTTAATGCCAGTGTTTATACCCAAAAAGCAAGGATGCCATTTGGTTTATAAAGGCTTTTAAATTTACGAACGTTCATGAATGTTCATCAAGTGGTTGAAAGATCAGTCAAAGATTGTGGAGGATATAAATACTCAAAAGTCTAACAAAAATTATGCGAATAATATTCAAGAAAATCTTTTTCAATGAATATTGTCTAAATTTTGATTAGATTGTTATGGTATAAGATAGATGTATGTGCTGTAAATCTTCAAAAACATGATGCGATAGAGTTAACCGTTTTCATTTGATTTTTCAACATATTTGTGGTCGTGTATGCTGGCTTGGAAAAAGTAGTAATTCTTCCAGGAATGGTAAGAGTAGTAAAAAAAGAAAAAGGGTTTCGGGCGTAGATTTATATTCTAAGATTCGTTGATAGCCGTACTCTCGGGAGTTTTTCTTCTGAGTAAATGGCTTTTTGATGAATGTGGCACTTTTTACATCAAAATTCTGGTTGAATTCATTTCTGTCTATGACTAGTGCATCTTTAAATGATGTATGAGATCCCTTTTATCTTCATAGATATTTTTTTTAATTTCTGCATGTTTCACCAATATATTGTGAGGAACAGCTTTGGCAATTATATGTGCTTGCTTCTGAATTATTATTGTTATTGGTGTTTTGGGTTCTGATCATATCCATAATTTTTGGGAAGTGGTTTTGACTATTTGGATGTTGTTTAGATGGTATAAGTTGTTTTGGATAGTGGATGTTATGGAGTTGCTAGATAGTTTTATATATCTGTCTTTGTTTACTTTATTATTTTGCATAATGCTGTAATCTTTGTTGTGCCTTCCTCTTTGTGTTGAGAATGAGATGATAAGGATAGCGCGGGATTTTAATGTGTTTTCTATGCGTGTTTCTTTCTTGGGTAGGTATTTGGGGCTGTAGATTCTTAATGCTGTTAAGTATAAACCTATAATTATCCCAGATTTAATCTCAGAGTGGTAGGAATAAAAGTTGACCAGGTCATTTTTGTTGTTAGCTTTTCTCTAAACCTCAAATTTGAGTTCGTTATTGTTTCTTTGTAACATGATACCTGGGAAGGGAAGAGTGTAGTTGGCTTCAAGTTCAAAGTTGAAGTCTGTTGTAGGTTAAACGTTATTAATTTTGTTAAAAAAAATCTGTTAAAATAGTGTTTTGTGGATATATTGGTATGGAGTCATCGATATATCTAAAATAATAGTTTTGTGGTAGAATGTTTTTGAAATATGCACTTTTTAGAAATTCCAACGATAGACAAGCTAGAACAATGCTAAATGGAGATCCCATCTGTAAGCCAAATTATTGTCTATAGAAATTGGTACCGAAAGCGAAGAAATATTATTTGCTGATTAGCTGGCATATTTTGATAATTTTATATATAGGGATAAGCAATTTTATTTCTGTTTTAGTTAAGTATTTTAGTAAATTTTTATGCATTTTTCTATAGGTACAATTGTGTATAAAGATTTTATGTCTAAACAAGGCATATATTTATTTTTGATGTTTATGCTTTTTAATTTGTTGAAAAGATCACTTGATTGTTTTAAGTAGTTGTTACTTCGGAGTAGGGCTAACATTTTGCTTCGTGTGCCAGCTAGCTTATCTGGGGTGATTTCTATCCCTGATATGATAGATCTCATTAGTATGTCCATTTTATGTATTTTTGGTAGTCAGGTGTGTTTTTGGATAGTATCCAGTGAGTTTTACACAGGAGTTTTTTTCAATTTTTAGTAAATTTTTGATGTCGCTTACAAATTTCGTGACTTTTTCTTCGTTTATTTTTGTCGTAAATGTTGTTGTCGTCGATGAGGTTCTCTCATTTTCTGTTGGTTCTGCCATCATTATATCCCTCCCCACGCTTATTGGAAGGAGATATGTGTATGTCTTTGTTCTTTGCTAATTCTTCCAGTCGTTCGTTTTTGTTCAGCTGTGATTATGCCTTGGGTGTATCGTTTGCTGAAGTTAGAGTTGTCATCGTGGCTTTTGATCATAAAATCCGTAATGTCGTTTTTCGACAGTCCGGTGGCAAATTTTTTGACCGAAGCTGAGGGTTTCTCGTTTCATGTGCGATAGTTTGGATTCGGATAGGTTTGTAATTAGGTCTTTCCTGCCGACATTGGCTAGGAATAGTATTTCCTCTTGTCTCCTTTTTATTTATATTGTTCCTTTAGAGATACACCTGATCTGAAAATAATTTACATATTAGAAGAAAACACTAAACCATAAATACAAATACAGCTTCAATAACATTTCATTAAATTTATGAACAAATATATTAGATATGTTTCACAACGAAATGATGGAAATAATGTCAAGCCCTATCAGACATTCCCTCTGTTTACAGAAGGACAGATGACTGGACTCTGACATAGAACGTTTCCAATGCTTTGAAATGTAATAAAGAAGGAGCATGACTAACGATAGAGAAAGAGTCAATGCTGAAATTGGTGGCACAGCTTAGATTATTTATAAGGTGCTCAGCGATAGCGGAGCAGGAAGTGTTGTTGATCTTGTCACCGTATATATATATATATATATATATATATATATATATATATATATATATATATATATATATATACGACGATTGCGTACAGCATGAACCAGATTGTCGCTTCTGAGTGTTGACTTCAATCTTCACTTTTATATTCATATTTACCTACGCTCTGTCTCTGATATTGATCACTTTATCCCATAAATATAGCACACTTTAAAACTATATTTCTTCATTCATATATATATATATATATATATATATATATATATATATATATATATATTATGTGTGTGTGTGCCTGTGTAAAATAGATAGGTTGATTAATAAAACACAGAGAAACGAAAGGGTACCAATATAATCAGTACGATAAAACTTTATTAACCATGTGAAAGAAATGAAGCCCGGAGATAAAGGTTTTATATTCGGAATTTTCAGACACGCCGATGTCCTTCATCAACGCTCCAAGGAATAAACAGAGAAATGGAAATTACTCACCGATAGATGTTTTTTTAGATGGGATATTTTCCAGTGGAAATCGTATTATTAACAAAAATCATATCTCTGTCATTCATCGATGTGTGAAACTTTATGAAAGTAAGCTTAAATTTAAAATTTACATATATACATGGTGGACTCGTATTCGACATATAAGGGTATAGTAACTCAGTTCTTAAGAACCAACAGCCCAGACACCAGATCATATGATTTGATTATTAGTGGTGAAAGCTTTGTGCAGAACCACCCAAACTTTCTGAAGGGTCGAATACAGAGACCTGATACACTGAGTACCACAAGGTCCCCAAACGAACCTCCGCAAGTTTTGAATTCAGAGTTGTCTTTCTCCAAGACTGGTTGCCATCCAAGGCTATAGAGCCCTGTCTGTCCTGCTATTTACCCATAGGTGGAGGGAGAAAAGGATTCATACCTTTCCCATATCTTTTAACACGTAAATAGATGTAATGGATTCGACTGGAATTCGACCTCGCCTCTCCGATTCCTCAATCCGGGCCGGTATCCACTACTTTACTGTGCCTCACACACTCACCCCCTATACACATTGATGTAAGTCCTGAAAGGTTGACAAGAATCTGTTCAGAAGAAAAGTCGCGAATTCTGGTTTGTCAGTTCTCTTGAGCCTGATGAGTATTCGCTTGTTCTTGGTGCCAGATCCGTTCTAGAAATAAACCATTGACAACTAAGCTACTTAGTACTCTGTGAATTTCCCCTATTGCCAAAATTACAAAGAGTCCGAACACGAGAATGGTGGACTGGCATCTCTGACTGAAATGGATTTCCAAGAATGTTTACATCGATGGCACCATCGTCTCACGAATTGAATAGCTTTGAAAAAACAGTACTTTGAAGAAACAGACATGTAAAATGTGATAAATTTATAGATAGATAGATATTAAAAAC